GTGGTGGGCAGGGGGCAAATGTGGGGTTATGGGGTGGGGAAAGGGTTGGGAAGGGGGTGAGGGGCAGGGGGTGGCACAAAGAGGGGGTCTGTGTTGGTTGGGGGTGGTGTTGAGATGGGACATGGAGTGGGGTCACCATTAAGTGGGGACAATGCCAGCATTGGTTGGGGTTCAACACCCAGGTGGGAGACAGAATGGGGTCACCATTAAGTGGGGATGGTGCTGAGATGGGACACAAAATGGTGCCACCATTGGTTGGGGACGGTGGCATCATTTAGTGGGGAAAGTGCTCTGGTGGGGCACAGAATGGGGTCACCATTGGTTGGGGATGCTGCTCAGGTGGGACAGAGTGGGGTCACCATTATTTGGGGATGTTGCTGAGATGGTATATGGAGTGGGGTCACCATTAACTGGGGACCACCATTGGTTGGGGACAGCAGCCAGGTGGGAGACAGAATGGGGTCACCTTTAATTGGGGATGGTGCTGAGATGGGACACAAAATGGTGCCACCATCGGTTGGGGATGCTGCTCAGATGGGACAGAGTGGGGTAACCATTATTTGGGGATGAGTTGGGACACGGAGTGGGGTCAGCAATAAATGGGGAGACGATGCCACCATTGCTTGGGGATGACGATGCTGAGATGGAAGACGGACTGGTGCCACCATTGATTGAGGCCAACACCAGCATGGAACACGGAATGGTGCCACCATCAGGAGGCAGCGAGGGCCGTGGGATGGGGGGAGGACGGGGAGGACAGGTCCCAGGGCACAGAACCAGCTGGGATGTGTGGCCCTATGGCTCACCATCCCCTCTCATTGTGCCATAGGGCCCCCGCCGATGGGATGCTCCACCCGGCCGAGCTCCTCGGGGGGCACTGAGGTGGGCACAGCCCCCCTCCCCCCAGCGCCCTCCATCTCCCCCCCTCCAGGCTCCTCCCAGCCATGCCTCAAGCATCAGAGCATCGTTTGGGTCGTGCCCGCGATCCGACATCCGTCGTCACCACTCAACCCAAAGCTGCATCTAAACTGCCGGGCCGGGCTTTGAGCCAAGAACGTCATTCTTTCACCTCTACCCCAAACGGGCTTTCTCCAGCCCCAAAACTTCGCCTCCTCCCTCCCAGACCTGGAACTTTGGAAGAACGAAGCAAGAAATCGGACCTGGAACGCGGCCGAGCCACCAAACGGGGCTCAGCTTGCCGACGAGGACCCCTAAAAGCGGACCACGGGGTGAGGGTTCCCGGTTCCCCGCAGGCAGGGACGGCACCTGGAGGAGCTTCTTTCTCTTTACCCATCGGAACAGAAAGGAGGAGGAGCAATTTGAGCCGGTCCAAATCCGTCAGCATCGGGGATCTGAGCGGCGAAGACGTGGCGGCGGCGTTGAGCCGTTTGGTGTTGAGGGATGGGGGCCACCCGTTGAGCGTGGGTGCTTTGGCCCTAAAAAGGAGCTCGTCTCTCCGAAGGGTCAACGTTGGAGTGGGGTTGGATGGGAGAAGTGCAGCCCCTCTGCTCTCTGTGCGTCACGAGGGCTGTGCCAGGACTCGTGTCCCCGATCCCCCCTATGGCCCCGATGGCTCCGCACCCCGCAGCCCCCCGTTGGGTCGAGCGCCCGAGGAAAAGGTGGCAGCTGTAAGAGTTTGGGGTCCTGAGCTCTGCTTTTGGGGTGGGGTTGG